CCAACTCTCCAGCCTGTCCAGGTCACGCTGGATGGCAGCACAGCCTGCCGGTGTGTCCACCACTCCTCCCAGTTTGGTGTCATCAGCAAACTTGCTGAGGGTGCACTCTAACTCTTCATCCAGGTCGTTGATGAAGAAGTTAAACAAGGCTGGGCCCAGTACTGACCCCTGAGGGACACCACTGGTTACCGGCCTCCAACCAGACTCAGCACCACTGATGCCAACCCTCTGAGCTCTGCCATCCACCCAGTTCCCAATCCACCTCCCCGACCACTCCTCCAGCCCACACTTCCTGAGCGTAACCCCGCTAGCACCGCTCCAGACTGAAAGCTCGTTCGTGCAGCGAGCGCCTGACGGCTCTTGGTGCCCGTCTCAGCATGGAGAGCAAAAATGTCCGCGCCGCCCGATCGCGCCAGCGCGGGCGATGCCCCGCTAGACGAGCGTGAGGGATTTCCACGGGGTTTTTGAACTCCGGGCCGTGTGTGTCCCGGCAGGCGGAGCGGGAGAGCTGCGTCGCCGGGCAGTGCTCGGACTCGACGCCCCGCCGAGCGAGCCGTTCCAGCAGCGAGCCGCCGCGGTGAGCCCTTCCCCTCCTGCCTTCTTCATCCCGGCTCCGCTCACGCTGGGCGCTCGGGGCGTGAAATTTATGATATTTACCCTCCCGCCCTCTTTTGCAACGCCTCAATTGTTTTTTTTTTTATACCGAGCGAAACGTGGCGTTACATTTTCACTCTAATTAACTAAATATTGTTGTACTCCTCCGTAGCTCTGAGCAGAGCCTCAGAGCGGGTGGTAAATGTCTTCCCGGAGGATGCCGCGCTCCAGCTTGCCCCGCTGCTTGTAGACACCGTGAATTTGGTGGATTTTTCCCTCCGCACGCAGCGACTCTGGGCCGCGCGGGCGTGCCGTGGTGGAGAGGCGGCACTAGATGGTGCCACCTCATCGCAGCAGCAGCGTGGCCTGGCGAAATCTTGGAAATCACAGAATCACAGAATCACAGAATAGTAGGGGTTGGAAGGGACCTCTGTGGGTCACCCAGTCCAACCCCCCTGCCCAAGCAGGGTCACCTACAGCAGGCTGCACAGGACCTTGTCCAGGCGGGTCTTGAATATCTCCAGAGAAGGAGACTCCACAACCTCCCTGGGCAGCAAACCTCCCATCCAAGCCAGCAAAGCAAACACCCTCAGAGGGAAGAAGTTCCTCCTCATGTTCAGACGGAACTTCCTGTGCCTCAGTTTGTGCCCAAAAATCCAGCCTTAGAGACCGCTTGAAGCTTGGGTTTTTTATTTTATAGCGATGCTTACACTGCATTTGGCGTGTGCCGGAGTTATTCTGGCTGATGGGGGTGGAGAATCGCTTCTGGCTGGACAGTCGGGGGGGTTTGGGACTTCTGGCATGTCCACGGATCAATTTGGGAGCGGAGGAGCAGGTTACCTTACGCCTCTCTGTGAAGCTAATCCTGGGCTTCGTAAAGCGCCCTGGTCAGAGCGGGGTGCGCTGGGAGATCTCTCCCGCGCAGCGAAACTTCTCGGCGTGGCCCTCGCTGCAAGCAGCCGCTTGACTTCTTGTTTCCTCTTGTCTCGACCTTCCCTCCTAACGGCAGCTTAGCAAAACCACGCAGCAAGCTCGGCGCAGGCTGGCGTCCCGCAGAACCGTGCCCCCGGGAGCGGGTCCCCCCGAACTGCCCGGCGGCATCTGGAGGCGAGAGGTGAGCGAGGGGTGCCTGGGGCAGGGGGAGAGGAGTCCAACTGTGGACGGTCTGGCTCTGATTAGCAAATCCAGCGCACGCTTCAGTGAGTTTCTCTAGCAGGAGTGAAATCAGCTGGGCTTTTGTGACCCACCTGATGATAACCCCTGAATTTCAGTGGTGTGACCCTCTGTTCTTGCTGCCTTTGGGAGAAGGGCAGGGTAAAGTGGGTGAAAACGTCTCTGTTTGCACAGACTAGGAGACAAGAATTCAAAACCTGGTTTTTTTGGTTTTTTTAAAGGCTGAGATTGCGATCTGGGTGCCTGGGAGGAATGTGACGATCAGCCCTCCCCTTAGGTGCCTCCTTTTCTTCCGCAAACCTCCACAGCTCTTTGCCTCGCATCCGTCCCTTGTTTTGTGTGGGTGGCAGAGATCTGGAGGGCTTTCCTCGCCCGGGGCTGGCTTCTGGTAGGGAATCGCTGGCACGCATCCGCTTTCCTCGAAGCGGTGCACAGGAGCCGAGGTCGGTCCCCAGCGCCTCACCTTTTGTTCTCTTGCACTTCATCCTGCTTTTGTCACTCGGGTTCTGGAGAGCAGGTTTTTTGTCGCAGCTTTTATCCTGCTTTCCGTGCCAAGACCTCTCTTAAAGTGATCTGCTTTGTCCACCCATGAGTCCTGGAGAACACCAGCAGTCACCCAGCCTGGTATTTTGTCTTCTGCCTCCTCCGGAGCCAGTTTCCTGCCCGTCTTGCAATTCTTCATTCCCATCTCTTTCCTCGGGTTCATCAAAGGTGAGGTAGATCTTGCCTGTTATCTAGAAAACACCTTTTAAATAAGGGCTCGTCTGGCTCTTCCTCCTCTGTGTACTGTTGGAAGTCAAGGAAGTCAGCTTTGTGAGCAAGAGTTACAGAAACAGGATAATTACGGGCTCGAAGACCTCGTTACCTATTTTGCACACTAACATACCTTCTGTTTAAGTCCTCGGTGCGTTTCAGACTGCTCAGCAAGACAGAGTGATTCATTACTCGGCTATCAGGGCACGAAAGCCTGGCATGAATAATGCAGTCGCTGCCCATGCCACGGGTAGCGAGCGGGGTCACAGATAGCAAGCGGGACGCGTGTGAGTCCCGGCGGCGAGTCATCCGCAGCGGTGAGAAACGAGAAACGGGGCCGGGAGGGATCGGGAGCCGTCCTCCCGCCTGAACCTTACTGCAGCGACAGTGAATCGACGCTCTCTTCAAAGGATTTAACAGCTTCCCTAGGCAATTTATTCTGGGAGGAATATATTTATTTTTTTTTTTTTTTTTGCCATCAATCTTTTTTATTACTCCAAGATAGTGGAGGGGGAAAAAAAAAAAAAAGCTCTAATGTTAATCTGACTTTTTCTCCCTGTATAAAGGTTTGCCACGTTCACAGCTAGGCAAGACAGTAGCTTGTTCCCTTCTCTTCAGACGCAAAAGGCTGCTGTGGACTTAACCTCCCCGGTAATTGCTGCCATAGGGCACTGCCTTGCCCTTTGCTTTTGGCCTCCTTGAATTTCCTTGTGCTGTCCCAGCTGATTCCTTTGGTTTGAACCCAAGCGTTTTCAGCCTGTTCTCAAAGGCTCTGCAACGCCAGGCGGCTTGGTGGGGTCGGTAAATGTGATCAAGAGGCTTCTTTCTTCCATCGTCCAGGCCGATAATGAAATTATCCAGCAGAGCCCACCTAGTTCTTCCTCTGTTTTTGTGCAGCGAGCTCCTGAGGCTGAATCTGGGTAGTGCTGTTAACCAGTATTGCACCTCCCGTGGAATGGTTTCATCTGGCAGATACCTCCTTACGCAAGCGTTGAATGAGGCCGTGTCAAAAGCCAAGCTCAAACCGAGACGTCTGCTGCTGCGCTCTGGCCTGAGACCTCTTTCTTCTGCTGGAGGAGAAATTCAGACCAGCCAGAGGTGACGCGCTCCTGGCAAATTCACGCTGGTTGCTGCTTATCTTGTTTTCTGGCAGCTTGCAGGCAGTTTGCAAGGTGATTTCCTCTCCTTTCTGAAAGTGGAGCAGCTAAACTCTTTGAGGCTAACATCTTCTCTTTAGTGTTTCCTTCCCCCCCCCCCCCCCCGCCCCCCCTTTATTTTAAGATAGGTGCAGATTTCAGGGAGGGGGAGGCTGTTAGCAGCTTCTCTGCTGCTCCTGGCAGTAACTCAGGGCAGGTCCTGCCTCCTCAAAAACCTCATGAATGTTTTTGAGGAGGAAAATGATCTGATGTTTTATGGGAATGATCTGATGTTTTATTCCCGAAAGTAATCCAAGATTTTTCTCGCTGCTGCTGTTAGCTCAGAGCGAGCCTTTGGCTGAACGTTGATGCCCGGAAGCGTAAAACACTGCTGTTCTTGGTGTCCTCTGATAGCTGTCCTCCTCGAGTAGCCAGTCCTTTAGTCTCTCTTACCAAAGCCTGGCTTGTTACCTTGATCCCTCTTGTTTTACTTGAAGCTTTGGCCTTTCTGGAACTTGTTTTGGTTTTACTTTTTTGTCCCCGCGTGCTTGTGTTGTCTCCTGCGCGATTCCTCCGGTAATCTGACCCGTGCTCCGCTTCCTCCGTGCTCGTATGGGTCGCGGGCGCAAGACGAGCTTGGGGCTTAGCCAGGGTTTGTCTTTCCACTCTAGCCGGGCAGTTTGCACTTGCTCAGTTTAAAGGAACTTTTCCTTCCCCTTCAGCCCTGTTTTCTGCATTTTTCTTTTTTTTTTTTTTCCTCCTTCCCTCTAAAGAGTTGGGTTCCCTGCGATCGATAATCCGGGTTCCCTGCGATCGATAATCCGTGTTCCCAAAATTGATAATCCGTGTTCCCCAAATCGTTGCTCTTCCTCCCTCCCAGAGATTTCTTTTCCAGTCAAAACCATTCAAAGGGTTACTTCCCCGCTTTCCCGAGCAGATACCTAGGTGGTAATCGCGTGGAAACAATGTGGCCTGTGTTTCTGATGATCCTGCTCACCACGCCGTCGGCCACTTTGCCTTTAGGCTTTGCTGTGGGTCCCCAGCATGGCAGCACCCAAATTCTTCTCCCCAGCTGATCGTTCACCAAAGTTGGGGGTTATTTTCCCCCCCATGGTTTCGTTTCCTTCTACCTTCAGGGCTGCTGAGCATCCTCACGAAGCAGCAACCGTTCTTCTCCACTCCCTTGTCCTCACCGACGCAGCTCTTGCGTTGCGTTTCTGCCGTAACAGGGGTTATAGAGCAATTCCTGTGGCTGTCGGAGTAATTTCTACATCTATCAAATAATTCCATGTTCAGAGTGACTCCGGGCTATCCTCCGTCCCTCCTGTGTCGCAGCTGAGCTGTCTCAAGGGATCCCTGGTGCAGCCTGCTCTCCTCCTGGGGATCTGTCCTCTCCCTCCGTCAGCAGTCCTGCTCTTCCCTCCCTAGCACAGAATCAGAGAATGGTTGGGGTTGGCAGGGACCTCTGTGGGTCACCCAGTCCAACCCCCTGCCCAAGCAGGGTCACCCAGAGCAGGCTGCACAGGACGGCGTCCAGGTGGGGCTGGAATATCTCCAGAGAAGGAGACTCCACCACCTCCCTGGGCAGCCTGGGCCAGAAGGGACGTCAAGGCAGGGGAGAAAAAAAAAAAAATCTTGGCTCTGAGCTTGCTTCTGGCACTTTGATTTTTTTTTTTTAGTTTGTGGGAAACAATCTGCTGCCTCTCAAAATATTGTTAATTGCCACCGGGGAGCCTGCCCACTTACCATCTGAAGCGGTACGCTGCGTGCTCCAGAGATCCCGCCACCCCCTAGCTCCTCGCAGTTGCGAAACGGCGCCTGGAGAGGTCTTCTCCTCCTCTTTCCTTCGCCCCGCGCGCGCCCGTCCCTCTGTTTCCGCAGTCGGTGGGAACGCAGTCACGAGTCGCCCCGCGAAATTCGCATTTTCGGGCTCTCGTGCCCCGCGGTGGTGCTTGAACACATCGCGTTGCTGCTTGCCAGGTCTCAGCTGACTCCACAGACCAAGTGCCCTGGGGTTAAAGCTACTTCTGACCCCCGCGAGGACGTTGAACTTGCCCTCTGCACCAAAGCCGCCGCGTCTGAATCCCGTATTTACGCCCTTCTCCTCCAGAAACCGGAGTCTTGTGAGACGGCCGCGGTGCCCGCAGAAGAGGAGGGTGAGGAGCTGCTTCTGGCAGGACATCACGACCTTCCAGCCGAGCTGCAAGCCCGGGGGACGGCCCCGCACCAGGCTGAGCAGGACGATGACTTCTACATCAAAATTGAGTTTGAAAAAGTAAGGCTCATGCGGGGCTGGGCCAGTTGGTTTTAAGAGGTTTGAATCGTTGGGGTTGTATCGGCAGAGACG